CATACCAGTATTTAGACTTCTATAAATACACTTTGTCCCCTAGTTCTTTCCTCTATTTCCTTTTACTTTCCTCTTGTCCCACTATCATGCTCAGCCTTCATTTGGGTTTCAGTAATTTCTCTCAGTTACATTACCCTTAATCATGCCCTACCAGACCTCCTACTCCCTCCTCCCCACCGATTTGGATCACTTGTTGTTCCCTTGTCCCTGTGTTTGTTAACACCATGTCTTTCCCCCCCACCTCCCCCTCTCCCATGTCCCCCCGGAACTGTTGGTCCCATTGTTTTCTCTTCCAGATTGTTCATCCAGCCTATCTTATTTAGACAGACCTGTGGAGATAATAACATGCACAAAAACAAGACAGAGCAAAACAAAGCAACAAAAGAACACAAAACAAAACAACAAAAAGCCAATGACAAACAACAACAACAAAGAAAAGCCTGTAGTTAGTTCAAGGACTGTTTGTGGGCCTTTTCGAGTGTTTTCTGGTCGAGTCTGATGTGGTGCCATGCCCTGGTCCCAAAGTCTATTTTTGGTATTCCCTGGGGACTTCATTGCTCTGTTCCCTGTGCTGTTCCGTTGCACGTCCTTAGTGTTTTGCCTCAGTGTGGTGAGATCAGATCGGGTGCAATGCCCACACTGTGTCTCTAGATATTATGCTGATTTAACAGAAAGAACCACATGGGTATGGTTCTAATCCTTCAAACCCAGAAATCCAATGCTTTAAAGTATTTGGCTAGGTCTAGGAGGTATTCACAAGTATGATCCCTATGTGCTTTGTTTTATATATATGAATATGTGTGCATACAATAACAGATATCTATATACAAATGCATACATCTATATAGAAATACCTGCTAACTGGAAGATTGGTGATTTGAATTCACTAAAAGCTTTGTGTGGAAAGATGTGATCATCTGCTGCTATAAAGATTACAGTCTTAGCGAGGGAGGAAAAAATGATATGATAAAATCATAATAACTTATACATTATCAATGGTTCAGGAGGTAGGGGGAGTGGGGAAGGAGAGGAACAATGAGAAGCTGATGCCAGGGCCTTAGGTGGAGAGCAAAGGTTTTGAGAATGATGAGGACAATGAATGTACAAATGTGCTTGACACAATTGATGTATGTGTGAATTGTGATAAGAGTTGTATGAGCCCCTAATGAAATGATTTAAAACAAACAAACAAACAAACAAAAAACATGCAAAGATGTGGGGCTTCTGACAGAAATTCCAGAGGAAATAAAAATGCCTAATAAGAAAAAAAAGATTTACAGTCTTGTAAGCCTTCTGTGACAATTCTATATGCTATCTATGAGTTAGAATCTACTCAATACCAATTGATTTGGCTTGTTTTGCTTTATATATATTACTTTATATTATATATTACATTATAATATTATAGCACTAGTGATATTATACATGTATCTTTTGGTTGGTTGTTTTTGATATTGTTTCAAAATTATTCTATAGCAATTACCAACAGGTTTTTTATATATACTTTTTAGTAGCATTGTTTACTTTGTCAAACTGTGTACATTTCACCCTAGTTTGGTCTTCCCTTTGCTATCACCCCAAAATAACAGGTGTCTACTATCTTGAGCACGAAGCCTTTCCACCCTCCTCCCTGGTCCCTGGTAGCCACTATTGAACATTTGCTTCTGTATATTTACTTGTTCAAGCCATTCTCAAAAAAGTGAGAACCTATATATTTGTTTTTATGTGA